AAAAATCGTCAATGGTTTATAAATGAATTTATATTGCTTACGATTGAGACTGGACGTTTTTTATTCTATGTGATTCTTAGTTTTATGGATGAATCCGTATTACGATCATATTGTCCATATGATACAACTGCTGCACCATTATTTGATTATTTTAATCATTTGAATGATGGAACATTATTGAATCTTAATGATTGCCGCATTAAATCGATTATCCTTTTAATATTTTTGATTTTTATTCTACACAGTCAATATATGTTATTTTTTACTGATCATAAATTAATAACATGGCGTTTATTATATGATGTTTCTAATCGTAATTATGATTATTATCGCGATTCAATAATTGCTAAACAAAATATTAATATCACTGAAACTGTGGTTAAGGCTTTGTTTAGTAGGAATGATTTCGATGAACCTGAACCAAATTCATCATCATCATTACATAATTGTTTGACAAAAATGTTGAAAAAAAGCCATAAAAGTTTCATTGATAATTTAATCATACAGCTGATGCTGAATATCGATCTTCATAAATTTGAAAAATTAAAATTAAAAGTATTCAGCTATACCGGTTTGAAGCTACGGATTAAATTGGCACTGTCAATGTTCGTACTTCATTGCTTGGATGTATTTTTGTTGACATTGGCCATATCTACTACATTAAATCTTGCTTGTCTGAATTATTTTAATTTTATTCAAATTCATATGTGGAATTTATGGCCATTAGCATTAATTGATTGTATTAATCATTGTTATTGCACATATATTTTCTTTCGAAATGGAGTTCTTTATTTTAATCTTTCGGTTATGAGTCTCATGTTTTTTGCATCACAAATGAATATATTGAATAAAAAGATTATCGAAATATTTTGCCATCGCAGACGCTTAATAAATTCTAGGTTATATTATTTACGTTTATTGATTTGGCGACAATTTCAACGACAACATCAACATATGACATATTGTATAATGTATAGTGGTCATGATGTTTGGAATAATGTATTCTTTATGGGAGTCATGGCCAATGTTCCATTGAACATAANATGAATTTTATGAACGTTTAACAACTAAAGAAAATGGTTTTGGTTTTTATTTGGGTCGTATTGCTATTATTAATTATCGAAATACTTTTGAAGTATGTATTTTTTGAATATATTCATATTACCTAAAACAAATCAATCAAATTGAATAATTTTCTTTTCATCTTTTTTTTTTGTATTCAGCTTTTAATGTCATATTTCGGACTAATGTTAATAACGTTTACATTTTTAAGTAATAATAATGTATAAATTATATCAAAATCAATAACATCAATTATGGCCGAAAATAATTGCCATATTTTTTTCTCCTGGTGATAAAAAAAAGCAAAAACAAACGATAACATAAATGCCAATCGATGTTTATGATGAATGAATTTCACCATAGAAACTTTTCGAAAGATTTACCAATTAACTATGTTGTTTTTTTCTCGAAAAAAAATATAAAATTATTCAATTAACTAAAACAAAAAAACATTAATTTTATTTTTCCCTCTTTTATAGTTGTAATTAACCCCATCAACATATTTTATTTTTTCCTTGACAAAAATAATATCAAAAATCTTTCCTTAGAGAAAAAAACTACAATTGAAAATTGAACATTAACGATTCCAAAATACAATTAAATTTTTCCCATCTTTAATGATTTTTTTTTCGTAAACAATTTTCTCACTGAAAACAAGATGAAATAATTCATTAGTTCTTTTATTTTCTACAATTTTTAAAAAAAAAATTCATTTTCTGTTGGCATTTTGAGTGAACAATTTAAGAATATATACATTTTTTT